AAATATATAAATTTGTCTATGCTATATCTGATTAATGACAGGTCCTAGGTGCCAGTGATTTCCGACAGCTGGCATGGCACGTTCTCATGGGAAATCAAGTCATATGGAGAGGTGCAGACCCTGGTCTTATCCAGTCAGCTTTCAATGTGCTGAAGGTCAGCTAAATACCTAAGCCCATTGCCTACGATATTTTCATCACACTTATCAAGTGATGCAGGTCTGCACCATAAAAGAAAATCTATGTTAGATGTTATAAACTGCCAGTCAAAAGTTTAGACAAACTTGACTGAATTTGTTTCTCCTGATCTTCATAAGAATATTATTAAAGGTGTAATAGGTGATTGTCTTCAGAAACATTGTTATGCTGGTTGAAAGTCTCTTCACATCCCGATAGCAATCATTAAGTTAAGTGGTCTAAATGTATTTATATGTATTTATATATTCTGTGGAATGTGTAGGACCAAGAAATGTTCGTCCAATCAAAATGCTCGGTCCGAGCGTTTTGATTGTCTTTCCTACCTGCCTGTCAACATATGTATTTGCATACCTCTGCGCACCCTGTTCGCGCAGACAGGATACGTCATCAGCACGTTCACGTATGCTGTGCAGACAGAGCGAGAATCGGCAATGAATCGCCTGCGATTTTGAACTCGATTTTGTGTAGCTTGTCAGTGATCTACGGCTCTGTGTAGTAAATTCCGCTTCATCTGAAAGCACGTGCTGGAGACTTACTACTAATCACCAGAAGCGGCATTACTGACGAGATTCGCATGAAAATCGCATTTGATTTTTTGCCCAGCACTACGGTTAATAACACATGATGTATTGTAGTAATGTTGTCTCTGGTCGTCTGGTCTGTGTGTGCGTTCATGCGTTCAGGGGGCGTGGCTTTGGACGGCGATTGCAGGGAGGGTGGGACGTTCGCTTTCAGTGCTATCAGGCTAAAGTTAGCATTTTCCAAGATCTCCTACTGCACCTTTAAGCCTGTGTTTAAATGCTTGAGCAAAAAATTGTTTTGTGGACAAATGTACATTTTGTTTACATTTAGACAATACAAATCTAAAGTATTCATTAAAAAGTTGTGTATTTTTATTTATATAATTTAATTCAAATTTAGAAAATATATTAAATAAATCTTTTAATGATTTTTTTGTATTAAAATATATTTTGTATATGTTAAACAAAATGTTATACACATGTACTTTTTGTTCTAATATAATATAATAAATATAATACATTTTTAATGGATAAGCTGGACCAGGATCCATCTTGAGTGCAGAGCTGCATTTTAGAAGAATTTAGAAGAAAAAAAATTAGGTTATTTCAATTTATTTTTGATGATGCTATTATTCCAAAATGTGAATAATAGTAGTAATAAAGAATGAGTATATGTGTCTAATCTTATGACTGGTAGTGTATGTTTTAAGTAGATGCTGAAAGTCTTACAATTTCAGTTCTGACCCTCATTTCTGTCTGTTTCACAGGCTTTGCTTCCAGTTGGATGTGTCCGAGCAGTTCCGTACAGTCCTCACTATGAGGAAGCATATCGATGCAACTTCCTTGGCCTTAGCCCAGATGTACCAATCCCAGCCCATGTTAGCTCTTCAGGTATCTTTTATTTCACTGCAAATCCTCTTTTGTGTATTTTGGCTTCACAGAGCTAGTTAATTTTCAGAACTTTCAGAAAACATATGTCTACACCACATTAAAAAGGAAGGACTTCATAAGATCCAAGCCCTGAGGGATTTGAACCAATTAACATATTGTATCCTGATCCCATCCTTGTGGCGCTGCTGTAGCTGAGATTGCTTCGGGTCAAACATATACAAACATTAACACTCAATCAGTCACAATTTGAAATGACAGCAATGCTCTCATGATCATTATTCAGCAATTCAAGTGAACATATTGTTTTTATAAAATGATGAAACAAACACAAATAGATTTAACAGAGGCCTCAAAGTGTTTTGGGTTGTTCTTTGTCAGAATGTGATTTACATCTTATTTCACAACTTCTGTGTGACTGTTTTCTTTCTAAACAGTGAAATTGTTTCATAACTCAGTGTCTGGTTCATCTCAAAGTTCAACACTCATTGTGTATATACATAGTCTAACTCCTCTCCCTATTTTTTTCCCTTTCTCAATCTATTTTCCAGAGTTTTCCATGCTGGTGGATGTACTTAATGTTGAGCGTGGTTGTGTAAATCCCGTTTCGGATGATGACATTCTCTCACTATACCAGTTCAACATTAGCAGTGCAAACACACAGCCAACAGATAAAGGTAACACATGGAAACAAACCTCTGTAGTATAGACTTTAAAGATTTATACCACTATTCAAACACACACTATTTATTGAATTTTGCATTTGTACATAGTGAATTCTTCTTTAATGTGCCTTTCTCATGGTTTGTCTTTCTCTCAGGTCCTACTCTGTTGAATAAGATCGATGTGGCTCTTTCTAATGAGAATTTGTCGGTGGAGGTGGTCTCACTCTGCTTACTCTGTCTGAAAGAAGAGTGGATGAAGTAAATTTGCATTTTGTCTTTAGACTACAAAATCTTAAATAGAACTCTTTTGAAGCATTATGTATGTCTTTACTGTCACTTTTGATCAATTTAACGCAAGTATTAATTTCTTTTTTTTTTTTCTTTTTTTTGAATGGTAATTAAAGTACTTTTACATTGTTTCTATAGAGCACTTTCCACAAATGGATGCAAAATTGGACCCAAACTTTCAATTAGAAAAATTTAATTAGAAGTAATTTGAAAGTAATTCTAATGTTGTTTTTTAGCCTTCAGATTAAACAAAATTATAACTCTTTTATTTTATATTCCTATTTCTTGAACATGAGGTTGTCCATTTTTGTAACACTGTTACAAATTTGGGACACTAGGAACACTGATAAATAATACATTTTTGTTGTTAAAATGATTTAAACAGTTTGCTCTACAATGAATAGAATATAAATGTAAAAGATTGTGTCAAAATTATGTAATTTTATTAGCTTTTAAGATATCTGAGAACAGTCCAAAATCTAGTAACGTAGACTCCAAAATATACTGAATTTCTGGAATGTGCCATTATATTTATTTCAGACCGTTTATAAGTCATGTAGCAGACATAAAGTTAAATACTTTGCCTGTTTCCCGTAATTCTTCTTTTTCCTCTTTCTTAATCACTTACTCGCTTCTCCCCAATTTCCTCTTAGACCTGTTTTCCTCTTGCCTGTTTATTGTTTCTGTGCTTCCTCTCACCACATGGTCTTCTTGTCCTTTCTGTTACAGCAAAGTAAAAGTGTTGTTTAAGTTCTCCAAGGTGGATGGCAGAGGTAAAGAGGACACTCAAAAGGTTTTAGCTCTGCTGGGGGCCACGGGGCCCGGGGAAGAGGACAATGTGCGTCTTCTTAAGTTTTGGATGACAGGACTCAGCAAGCTCTACAAGAGCCATCTAATGACAGCAGTCAGAGGTGGAGAGAGAACTCTGAGCCAGTGAGAGAGAGAAAGGGGACAATGGACTCACTGCTAGAGTTAGATGAAAGGAATGTGTGGGTGCGTGTGTGTGTCTGTGTGTCAATTACGGGAAAACGGGCCAGCCCTGAGAATGTGTTTTTCTGCATGGTACAGAGAGAAAGTAAAAACTATCATTGTGATTGGAGCCTCAAAAACTTTTACTTACACATGTGCATTTAAATGGAATGTTGTTTTACCGTCATGCATAGACATGTCCATTTTCTATCTTTTTCACTATGTGTCTAATAGAGCACATGGTCCACTGACATTATGGGAACTAGGCAGAGTATCAGTTGACATGATACTGTTTGAGGCATGATTATTGCAATTCATCATCCATTTTTTTTCCATCTGACTTGTCTGAGAGAGAATTAGTATTTTATGAGCAATTTTATTTATCCTTTGATAACTTATTTTAAATAAACGGCTTTTAGTTTAATCTCACACATGCTAAATAAAGACTACGTGCTGCTTGTAAACCAAAGTGTTACATTTTTTTAATTAAGTACTATAATTTATTACAGCAATGTGGTTATACCAGCTACTGACCTCTATCAGAATCATATGGAAGGGAAGAAATAGTTTTTTAGTGCTATGCCTGTAATTGCTGCCATGAGAGATTTTCTGGATATGTAGAAATCCCCTTAAACCCATTATAGTTTTTAAAGCTTGTTTCAATGTACTACAAGACTTAAAATCATGCAATAAACACTGTGCAAACATGCAAGTCCCCCCTAAGCAGCTCTTATGTAAAGGAAGTTCTTGTGTTTTAAGGTGGAATGGGCTCTACTGAAAGGATCAGGTTATACTACGGTAATTCCTCCTTTATAAATGTAGCTATCATGAGACCTATCATTTTTGGACTATATCATGCATATAAACTCTTTTTTGCATTTAAAATTTGTAACAAGTCATCAGTGCAGGTTAAATTAGAAATTTAGTGAAATGTGGTGAGTGAGTGTGAATGTGTGCAGAAGAATCAATATTACCCTGAGGACTGCAAGATATTCCTTCCTGTCTACACAGGTTGATTGATGGCAATTACCAGAATAACTTTTACTCGTACAGATAATAATCTATTTATTTATTCCTGATGGCACATAAAGCTTTATGTTGGCATAATAGTTCTCTATTTGTATAAAGGTTTGATTGCTTATTACACTTTACCATATTTTAATTCATCATATTGCTACTCCAAATTAGTTTACTACACTTTTTCAATGCAATTAAAAAGAAAAACATAGGCACATATTATGCACTAAGAACAATGTATCTTTGATGCAGTCTCTCATGTGACTGTATTTAAACCAACTACCACAAACTGACTGCTTTGTCTATTTAAATGACAGCATGGTTGAATCCTCCTCAGTTTATAGGCATCACATGCTTGACAATGACTAATCTGGAATAGTGTGAATTACATAAACGTGTGTCTGATGAAATATAACTTCCTTTCATTACAGTCATGAAAGCTCACATGCTTAGTCATCATTCAGCTGATAAACTGTGGGATTGAGGGAGCAACAGACATGGAGGCTTGAGTGGGAAGGAGGGAAATTAAAAACAGACTGCCAGAGTGCATGACTAAGACTAAACCCGGGAAAGGTTGTGCACTGAGTACTGATAAAGAGAGGAGAAGAGGGGGAGTGCTTGCTGTCTAATGAGGTAAAGGGGTGGGGAGCTTTAAAGAGAGCAGGGAGAGAGAATGAACCACCAGGACTTTCACTTTCAGTGAGCAGCAAACTGCCTCCACACTGTTTGCTCCTTCAGAAGTAGCCTACAACAGATCAAGTGTCTTGCTCACTTGCATGCCAGCTGGAAATTAAAGCTTCAAAACAAACTGGCTGAAAAGGAAGAAGGAAAGTTAGAGCAAAAGAAAACAGGAAACTAAAATCTCACAGGAAATATAGGAATATCTTGTTGTCCATCAGAATCTTTTCCATCAGAAGACTGGGAATTTCCAAGTGTCTGACTGGGATTGAGCCAGACGGTCAGAATGGAGAGCGGCTGTGGGATCCAAGAGAAAGTGCAACAGTGAGAGAAAGCGAAGACCTTGGAGGCAGCTGGGAAACCCACTGAGACGAGATTCTTCCATAACCTTTCTGCAGCAATCTGTTGTGCAAAACGACTTGGTTAAGAAGAACATGGGGAATATGGCCCACATTGGCCAGTAGAAGCATGTCACCAACAGGTAACGTGATACGCGTGCAGCACTTAAGAAGGTCCATCAATTGCTGCGCGTATTAAATGGTTGTGTCAAACAGTGCGTTTGGTGTTTGCGACATTAAGAGAACAAAACGCGTGGGTGTTTCGAAAATGTTAGGGCTTTTGATGCTCTGAACCCACATTGTTTTACCTTTGCCTTTCAGTGCTGTTACTTCTATCAATATTGACTGTACAAGGAAGTGGGTGCGATGATTTTATGAAGACGACGATCAGAAATCTTCAAGACTCTATACACATTGAAGAAACGTCCGGATTCGTGAGTTTCGATGTTTAAGAACTCTTTGTTTACTAGAAAGTTCGCGATCGCATTTATCTGTCCCGTGTCATTTTTGTACTGACCTTATTATTGTTGATTTGTGGTTTTGGTAACGTCTGAGAAGCCCGTGCATCTTAAATAAATAGTTCGTCTTTATTAAAAGCTTTAAAAATTGACATTGTAATATATATCTATTGCAGCCACAAGTGTTTCCAAAGAACTACGTCGTGTCTCACTATTTCAACGACAGCGCGCTGTGCAATGAGCCGGTAAGACTGACAGTTCAACGGGTCAGTGGTGTGATGCTCTTTTTTTCGGATTCAATTTAAGTTATTCAAAAATACATTATACGTGCAGCTCGGTCACAGACAGTAAATATAATAAACTTAAAATAATGAACGTGTTTTGGGTTTCTAGATTAAATGGGATTTTGGTTTTTATTTTATGGGGCCTACTATCAGAAATATCCAGATGGTGTAATATTGCCAGATTGTAAATGAATGAATGAGTCAGTAAATAAATTAATACAATTATTGAAAACAGTAATGTTGACATAAGTAGCATGAAATTATCTTTTCTTTAAAAAAAACAGCAGGTTATATTGTTTTAAATTGTTTGTAATATTGTCTGCAGAATAAAAGTCAGCCTGTAAACAACATACATACTTTGGACCCCTTTAGGTCATTCTGGACCCCTTTAGATGATTTTTATTTTTTTAATAAAACACCTTTAACTGTAATAAAGCTTTATTCATAACTCTAATGTTAATGACAAACTGTTTGACAATAGTGATTTAATTATATACACTCTTTCGAATTCATGGTGCAAAGAAAGTACTTAACTATTCTATGGTTGGAACTGATGGTTACACCAAATTACATTTTTAACCATTTTGAGTCCCGATATGTTGAATATGCTATAAACATGTTCCCCAGATGAAAGCAACAAGAATAAGTAGATTACATTTCTAAGAGCTTGTAATTACATGTAATTGAAAATGTAATTAACCTAGATTTTCTTCTGTTTTGTCATCTAAACCATACTTATTTGTTACTGACACAAATATAAAATGTTTAGCTGCTTTGCTCCTAGTAGCTAAACTTAGAACTACACCTGTCTCTCTCTGTGTGTGAGTTTAGTGTTGTGTGTTCAGTGCTGCTGCGTTCCTGTCTAATTCCTGGATTCAGCTTCTCCAGCATCTCAGTAGAGTTCACCTCAAATACAGGTTCATCAGTGAGCTGATTCTCACACTGGACAACATCGCAAAAGAGGTATATTGTCATACACTCTTAGAAAAAAGGTACAAAAGCTGTCACTGGGATGGTAGCCTTTCAAAAGTTACACTCAAAGGTACATATCAGTACCTAAAGTGTACATATTAGTACCTAAATGGTACATATTTGTTCCTTTTTAAAAAAATACTACCCCAGTGACAGCTTTTGTATCTTTTTCATACCATACTTCTTGCCACTGTACTATTTTTCCAGATGTTGTATCAACACATCTTTCATTCTTGATTGTAGGTTTTATAGATTGTAGATCTCTTGTGGTTAGTGTTTTTTCTATCTTTTTGTAAACAGAAAATTCCAGATCGTCCAGATATCTCTGCTTTTCCATCTGTTCAGTCATCGCCAGAAGGTCTTCTCTCCTTCACCTCATCCCTCTTCACACGATGGCTCAATCTGGATTGTGCTTTTAAAGAGCATCACTGCATCTTCCCCACACCAAGTGAAGAGGATCAAGAAAATTCGCCATCAGAGGAGGAAGAGAATGTGGAGAACCATGAACCTGTGGATGAGCAGCAGCCTGTGATAGAAGGAGAGACAGGTAAAAGGCAGTTCGACCAGGGTCCGACTAACAGCTATAGTGAGTCACGTTTCCCAGGTTTCTCTCACTGGACTTTTTCTTTTCTATGGATAACATCAAGTCTGATCTGGTAAAAGGCGAGAAATCTGTTTTAAATATGCCACAAAACTTGGCCAAAAGGAGGCTTCACTTTGAAAGGACAGCTACTGTAATTCACTGTTGTTTTATACTGATTAGCATTTGTATAAGATTTCAGAGAAGTTGCTCTCTTGATATGGCTCATGATTTCTAGATGCATGTTGGAGAAAATGGATGTTTTGGAAACAGACACATGGCCAATAAGACGTTCTATTTCATGTACGTGTATGATGTTTTTTCTGCATCATGTCTTTGCACTGATTGTTTCTATCACTTATCCAGTTTTCTGTCTTATTCAGTGAATTATGTGTCATTCATGATAATTCAGGTTAAACCTGTCGACTGAATGTTTTAACATTGATTGTAGTGAAAAGGTAAAGAATACATGAAGCCAAAAGTCTCCGCTTATCGCTCGGTGTTCAAGAGGAAAAAACTACACTCATGTACTACAGTAAATCCAAGCCATATTAAATAATACTGTAGCATAGGAACCAGCTTAAGCAAGCTACTTTCTGAAAAGGCATTTGCAAAAGGGTTACATAAGTCATGTTTACAAGTATTGTTGTCTTGCCTTAGAGAAGGTTACTACAAGCAATGTTTTACTCAAATGAATTTAACAATCTGTCTGTTTTTGGTATACATGTGTTGTCTGTTTTTAAGTGTAGATTTTTATATATAAATAAAATCTTGAAATTAATTCAGTGTTTGCATGAATTGACTATACTCTTTTGTTTGTCAGAGTGTGTGTATGAGGACTTTCTCTAGTATCAGCTGGATGGAGAGACTTGCAGATGATGGCACAAACAACAGGCCACCACAGAGACCTTTTGTTCACACAATTTTGCTGCTCTACCACAATATAGCCTACAGTTGGTGGCTGGCACATCTCGAAAACACACATAAAACAATTACCCAGTCAACACGCAATAAATTACATTTTAGCTACATATTGTTTATGGATATTGTTCATAACGATGCAGGATTTTACCCTGTTAAATGTCAGAAATGGGTTTGTTTGGATTATCACAACTGAGCCAAACCACATGCAAACTAGCACAGGCCAACCCTGTTAAGAAAAATAAGCTTAAACCAGGCTAAACTGGTTTGCTGGTCCATTTGTCTTGTTTTTGAGGGGGTTTGGGCAGTTTTCAGTTAGTCAGACTGGTCAGCTAAACCAGCTGCAAACCTTGTCCTGGTTGGAAAACCTTCCTAAACCAAGATGGTTGGCTATTAGTATTACTTTACAGTAAGGTCCTGCTAGGTAATGTTGCATTAACCAACATTAACAAACAATGAGCAAATGAGTTTCTGTTACAATATTTATTAATCTTTATTAAAGTTAGTTAATTAACAACTGTTCATTGTCAGTTCGTTAGCTCGGGTCCATTAAATATTTACAGATACAGCTTTGATTTTAATATTAGTAAATTAGCAACTTAACATGAACTAAGATTAATAAATGCTTTAGAAGTATTGTTAGTTCATGTTAACTAATGTAGTTAACTCCATCGTAAAGTGTCAAGACCGTCAAGTCAGGCTGGTGATGATTATATCTCAGCCAAAAAATCATGCACAGATTTTTACAGTCTGAGACATAAAAAGTGAGAAGGATTTCTGGAAAACATCTCTTTGGGACGGACAACAATTCCCGCTAGCCAGGTGACTTGAGTGCTGTCCAACTCTGTACAGGGCTCAGTGTGCGCTTTAAAACACGTGCCCTGAAGCGGAAGTCCTCCGCTCTCTCAAAATGTCCGCGGCCAGTGAAGACACGTTGCCTCAGGAGGACGATGAGTTTGAGGACATGGAGGCGAGTGGAAGCGACGAGGATGATATGGAGGGAGAAGGACAGAACGGGGATGGAGACGGGAAAGTCTATGTCCCCGGTCTGCAGCCGCTTCAGCCGGGAGAAGAGCTGGAGATGGACCGCTCCGCTTACCGCATGTATCACGAGTGCCAGACCGGTCAGTGTGCTCAACATCATGCCCGATCACTAAACATAAACATGCTTGGTCGATATATGGTTAGCTGTGGTTTGCTCATGTTTGCAAGTGGGTAAGTTAACATACGTCTACCGACAAAGTAAAGTACCATACAATAACATGTTTTTTTTGGATATGTGTGTAATGTTATTATTTATAATCATGGTGTTTGAAGTACTATATCTATGAGCAGGCAACATATCAAAATGTATCATCATTTAAAATTAAAATGTCAGGATAGGTTACAGTATTGAGAAATGGTCATTTATTTAATTGTTCAGAAAATAATGTCACAATATCTTAGTCAGGGGTCTCCAAACTTGGTCCTGGAGGGCCGGTGTCCTGTCAAGTTTAGCTCCAATCCTAATTAAACACACCTGAACCAGCTAATTAAGGTCTTACTAGGCATACTAGAAACTTCCAGGCAGGTGTGTTGAACCAAGTTGGAGCTAAACTCTGCAGGACACCTGCTCTCCACTACTGAGTTTGGAGACCCCTGATCTTAGTGATCCTCAATGTAGGCTGCATATTTGCAGTGCAATAATAATAGTAAATGACAATAATACCAAATTATTATATGTTGTGCCATTTTTTAAGGGCAGTTTACCAATTCTCTTTACAGTAATTTTGACATTTTACTTTTTTGGATATTTTAATGATGATTCTCATTACTGTAATACAGTAGTTACTTTGTAAGTCGCTTTGGATAAAAGCGTCTGCTAAATGACTAATGTCATTTAACAAATCCAAATGTTGCAAAGTAAAATAACAGTAATGATAAACAATGAACATAAAAGGCAGTAAATCAAACAGTATCGTCACAAATAGTATTTTTTTCACAAAATAATGAGCATGAATTGTTGTGCTCAATAAAAATGTAACAATAAATAAATGCATGCATGCATACTAAAATAAAATAAAATAAATTGTCCAAAACTAAGATTAAGAAGTTCGTCATCCAATGCATTATTCTTTGTGCACAATTTTCTTTTACTTTTTTTTTTTTTTTTTTTAATTGGTGAAATATGGCCAGGATGTTTTTCTTAAAGATTTATTTTTTGGCATTTTTGCCTTTATTATGACAGGACAGATCAGAGGTGGGATCGGGAAAGGTCCTTGAGTTGGGATTCGAACTCGGGATGCCCATAGTGCAACGCCGCTGTATGTCGGCACGCTGCCCACAAGGCTATCGGCGCTGATAGCCAAGATGTATTTTTAACAGGAAAATGTCATGAAATGTCTTTCATTTTAATCATAACAGGAAAAACTTGTATGTCAATAACCAGATTTTTTTGTTCCGATACCTGCTATCTTCTGAAATTCATTTCTAATAAGCAAACTTGTCTTTCCCCTGCAGGTGCCCCATGTCTGAGTTTTGATGTGGTGCGTGATGGTGAAGGAGAAGGGCGGGAGCAGTTTCCTCTCTCTATGATTCTGTGTGCTGGTACACAGGCGGACACCGCCTTAAGCAACAGGTACACTGACACGAATGCTGTCAGAGCTTGCTACTTTTATTGTTCTGCAACAAACAGCTAATACTTTTGTTATGTTTGGCTTCCAAAGATGATGACATTTTCATCTATATCCAGGCTTATTGTCATGCGCATGCACAATCTTCATGAAACTGATAAAGATAAAGATGAAAATAAAAGCAGTGATGAAGAAAGTGATGAAGATGAGGAGGACGAGGAGAAGAAACCACAGTTGGAGCTGGCCATGATGCCGCATTATGGTGGGATCAACAGAGTCCGAGTAAGTCTAGTTACTGTCACATTTACTCTTATTAATGTTTTTATAATTCTGGAGAATTAACGTTTTACAGCTTTTTCCAGTCCAACCAGTTAAATTTTCTCACTCATCATCTAAAGTTATGATCTTTTTGCTTCAATAGGTGACCCAGCGAGGTGAACAGACATTTGCTGCGCTCTGGTCAGAGAAAGGACAGGTGGAGATTTTTGACCTCCGACCTCAGTTTGAGGCGGTGCACAGTTCGGCAGCGATGTCGGCCTTCATCAAGCAGCAGAAGGAAGCCATGCCTCTTTTCAGTTTTTCTGGTCACATGTCGGAAGGATTTGCCATTGATTGGTCACCCAAGGTACCAGGTGTGTAATTTGGATTGTAATATTATATCCACCTTAGTTTTCAAAGCGAAAGTAAGCTATTTTCTGGGAATGTGTGAAAGTTCTTAATCATTTGCCACAACAGTAGACAGTAAACAGTAGAACGATTTGCGTTACAAACAAATAAATAGGTTCATGATTATGACAAATTAAAATATGATAAATACCGGTGTGCAGTATCAAGCAACATGCAGACTGTTTTTGTACAGCTAAAATAACTAGAAGCGGATGACACAGGAAGCCTTGCACATTTAAGTTACAAATGGCCACATCAATTCTTACATTAAAAAAAAAAAAACAAGGTGGATGTAACGGAGAAAACAGGGTCTTACCTCCATACAAACAGATGTCTAGATTAATGGGACTACTGGCTAAGACTCAAGTCATTTCATGTTTACTTGCCTCAGGACGCCTGGTAAGCGGTGACTGCAAGAAGAACATTCATGTCTGGGAGCCACAGGAGGGTGGGACTTGGAAGGTTGACCAACGGCCTTTCAGCTCACACAGCAAGTCTGTTGAGGACCTGCAGTGGTCACCTACTGAAGCCACAGTATGTCGGTCAAAAGAGAATGGTTATATTAAAATATTTTATAATAAAAGTGGATGTAATATTTAAATTAGTGCTTCTCTCTCACCTCCAGGTTTTTGCGTCATGCTCAGTGGATCAGTCCATTCGCATTTGGGACATAAGGGCACCACCTAATTCCATGCTCTCTGCCAATGAGGCTCATTCTTCAGACATCAATGTTATCAGCTGGAACCGGACTGAACCTTTTATTTTGTCTGGAGGAGATGATGGCCTCCTGAAAGTCTGGGATTTAAGGCAGTTCCAGGTGAGCATGAGCAAGAGGAAACAAATATTAACGTTTAATTTTTCAGCTAAAGCATTACCAACTAAATCATTAAATGAAACAAGTCCGTCTGGAATCACATGAAGAGACAGAAGCATTTCATGCCTGTTTGTCAGGTATATTGTTCTAGGGTGTTTACAAAAACTTACATGCAAACTACTACTGTGAAATTGTGCTTTAAAGTGAGGATGTTTTCAAAAATAATTATTCATTTTAGAATGAATGAACACTGCCATTCAAAAATGTGGATTTTTTTTTTTTTGAGTCTCTTATGCTCACCAAGGCTGCATTTATTTAATCAATAATACAGTAAAACGTAATATTGTGAAATATTATTACAACTTTAAATAGCTGTTTTCTATTTGAATGTATTTTAAAAGGTACATTTTCCTGTGATGGCAAAGCTGAATTTTCAGCAGCCATTACTCCAGTCTTCAGTGTCACATGATCTTTCAGAAATCATTCTGATAATGCTGGTTTGGTGCTTAAGAAATTTATTTTTCTTATCAATGTCGAACACAGTTGTGCTGCTTACTATTTTTGTGTATACTATATTTTTCTGTGATTATGTGAATAGAAAGTTAAAAAGAGCAGTGTTTTTGAAATAGATCTTTTATAACATTCTAAATGTTTTTACTGTCCCTTTTTTGACGATAAATTTGATGTTGTGTTGCTGAATAGAAGTATAAATAAA